AATAACTAGTTGACCCTCCTTTGGCAGCAATAACCTCAACCAAACGTTTCCTGTAGTTGCAGATCAGACCTGCACAACGATCTGGAGTCATTTTGGACCACTCCTCTTCACAAAAAACTGTTTCAGTGTAGCAATATTCTTGGATGTCTGGTGTGAATCGCTCTCTTAAGGTCATGCCACAGCATTTCAATCGGGTTGAGGTCAGGACTCTGACTGGGCCACTCCAGAAGGCGTATTCTGTGCTGTTGCAGCCATTGTTTTGTTGAATTTACTTGTATGCTTTGGGCCATTGTCCTGTTGCATCACCCATCCTCTGCGGAGCTTCAATTGGCGGACAGATGGTCGTACGTTTTCCTGCAAAATGTCTTGATAAACTCTGAAATTCATTTTCCCATCAATGACAAACAATCCGTCCAGGCCCTGAGGCAGCAAAGCAGCCCCAAACCATGATGCTCCCTCCGCCATGTTTTACAGTGGGGATGAGGTTTTGATGTTGGTGTGCTGTGCCTTTTTTTCTCCACACATAGTGTTGTGTGTTCTTCCCAAACAACTCAATCTTGGTTACATCTGTCCACAGTATATTTTGCCAGTAGTGCTGTGGAACATCCCAGGTGCTCTTTTGCAAACTTCAAACGTGCTGCAATATTCTTTTTGGACAGCAATGGCTTCCTCCGTGGTGTCCTCCCATGTACTCCATTCTTGTTTAAGGTTTTCCTTATTATAGATGTGTTAAAAAAAATGTTAGCATGTGCCAGAGATTTCTGTAGGTCTTTTAGCTGACACTCTGGGATTCTTCTTTACCTCATGCAGCATTCTGCGCTGTGCTCTTGCAGTCATTTTTACAGGACGACAACGTCTAGGGAGAGTAGCAACAGTGCTAAAACTTTCTCCATTTGTAGACAGTCTGTCTTACCGTGGACACATGAACATCAAGGCTTTTGCAGATACTTTTGTAACCCTTTCCAGCTTCATGTAAGTCAACAATTCTTGATCGTAGGTCTTCTGAGAGCTCTTTTCTGCGAGGCATGGTTCACATCAGACAGTGCTTCTTGAAACCAGTAAACCCAAAACAGGTGTGTGTTTTTTAAGGGCAGGACAGCTGTCAGCAACACATCCAATATATCATCACACTGATTGGAGTCAAGGTTGGCTCACTCCTGGCTCCAATTAGCTCTGGGAGAAGTTATTAAGCTAGGGCCTCACATACTTTTTCCTCCCTGCACTGTGAATGTTTACATGTTATGTGCAATTAAAACCATGGCAACATCTAATGTTTGTGTAGTATTATGTGCAGCAGACTGTGTTCTTCTATTGTTGTGACTTAGATGACGTTCAGAGCACATTTTATGCCCAATTCATGCAAAACTCCACGTAATCCCAAGGGGTTCACATACTTTTTCTTGCAACTGTATATATATATATATATATGTATTACTTATGCAATTAAGTACTTCTTTCCTAGTTTTCTACTTCAGAAGACAAATGTATAAGTGATATCAATTGACACAGCCGAGAGGAAGCCTGCTACTAAAGGTTTAGGTCAAGAGATAATCAAGGTGAACTATTAACTGATTTTAAGACACTGAAGAAGTGTGGCAAGTGGTCTGAATACATGCTGGAGGAAAGTGACTATTGACATTTGGCTGCTGAGACACCTTGAAGCTATATATAATAAAGATTATGCTTTAGATCATCTTTATTTATACTTTAAATACCTGTTTGTTTCTATTAGCAATGACTTGCTACAAATCCTCCACAAAGTCACTAAATGTTGCAGCTCCTGTCCTGTGCCCCCCACTGGATGCATCACCTATAGCCCAGTGCCCAGTTTTGGAGACAGCACCTAATGTCCTGTGTCCATGTTTATGGTGTTTAACAACTGTATTTTAAACTCCAACTCTGCCTACACCACCTGATGCCATCTACTATAAATCCTAGCAAGTAAAGACATTATCTTTCTTCCTGAACACAACCTTCTACTCTTAATGTCACTTCCATTGGTCATCACAGCAAACAATCAAAATCATCTGCTTGATTGCTCCACTCTACTACTGCTGTCCCTGGAGAAACACTTCCCAGACATTTTCCTGCTCTCTGCAGTCTTCCAGCAATGTCACCGGATACAGAGGCCAAGAGAAAGACAGTGAAAACTGTCTTTTAAAGCCATGCTTTCGAAGCACTTTTTTCACTGCAAACTTATGTGACTTTACCCCTCAACTTTGCCACTTATCAATAAGCAACATATATTTAAATGGCATACGTGATTACATTGCAGAGTATTGCAGTATGTGGGAATGTGTAATACATGTGTGTGTGTTTAATATTTATTAAGTGGACACCTACATAATAGTCTTAACCTTAAATTCTGAAATACAATGCCAATGGCTCTTTATGTGCTTTAGAAAGAGGATTACTGAAAAAAATACAAATTTCATTTAAATTGAAAATATTCTTTCTCGAGCTATTTTAGAGATATATTATGCATTTTTCTTAAATCATCATGACCCTTATCCCTTATACAAATAATGTGTACTTATGGGATTTGCATGGGGACAATGAAAGAATGATCAAGTGTTGATACAGTTGATATGACTGAGATGCAGAAAAAGCTATTCATTCAACTGTTAGTTGGCTAGGGTGGAAAAAAACTGCTGCAGTTTGGGAGCTACGCATCTTCCTTCTTGTGATTATTGTTGATACAGCTGCTGGTGCTACCTTTCCTAATGCCCTCAACATTTTGCTGTGCATGAAGTTAGCAATATTGTGGTGCTTTTTCAGTGTCACTTCCACTGCCATTCAGGTACAGTCTGGCCCTGGAACTGGGGATAGCTGCTGAATGAATTCCCACATCTGTGGGTGTGGCATGAAACTGTATATAGACAGATAACTAAACAGTACAGAGAACACTTTCCCCCAGAACTGACAACACAGTAATGACAAGCAAATAGGATGGACTATTACGACTAAACCTTGACTGTACCTTAGACTTACTCTGATAGAATGTCAATATGTAGCGAATTGCTTCTTTTTGACTGTAATACACTGGTTAAGCTTATATTGATGAGCATGTATTGGTTTATTGTTCACATAATATCAAAATTATTGGATCTATCTTGTGACTTTGAATTCTCAATAAAAAAACTTTATTGTGAAAAAATAAAATGGACTATAGTACACAGATAGCATGACTGATGCAAGAACCATTTTGCATTTTGTATTAAACTATCCATAGTTTGGAGACTGGGCTAAAAAATGGGACAATGGGATAACAATAATTTAAAGTATATTTATTTATATTGTCATTAATAGCGATCAATATAACATTATAACATTAATCACAGCAGCACTCCACATAGTCTTCCACCAATTGCACCAAATCCCTAACAGCCAGTGTGTGGTTTTTCCCTTATTTTGAGCTTTTAGAGTTTTAAGTTCTTCTTTCCCCACAGTGGTACGTTAAAACTCTAAAAGCTCAAAATAAGGGAACAAACACATGGACCATGGACTTTTAAAAGTGTAGAACACTGCTGTGATTAATGTAATATTGATTGCTATTCATGACAATTGTTGTTTTTGAACATAAAGTAGCTATCTCTCAAGCTTATTTGTATTCACCATTCTTACACAAACGCTGGGTAATGTGCATTGGTTGCATGTGTTTTTAGCACATTTTCGTGTTGTAGTTGTTTTTTTTAGCAACAATGGAGGTAATGAATTTTTTAAATACTCGACAAATTAACTTAGTAGATACAGTGTTTTCCTCTGAGCAAGCGAGTCAGCCTCAAGAGAAATATAGTGATGTCTTTACAGCTTTGGGTAATGCTTTGGAAAAGCAGGTGAAAGCCTGGTGGGACATATGCACCCTGGAGCATTATCTAAAAGAAAAGATAATATTTTCACAGATTAACATGGGAAGTAGCCCCACAAGATGGTCTCAGGGTTGAGGAAACTGAATCCGAGTGGCACAACTTTTTTAATAAAGTGGGATTAGAGCTTCAGCAACTGATATTAAAGAGGAAAATGAAGTCATTGTCATGTTTGGGTAATACAATTAAAAAGTTACAAGTTAAGATAGAGCCCATTAAAGATACCGATCAATGTGCTGAATTCAATGCCCAGATTAAACAGAGGTTGGAGATGGTAGATTAGGATGCACAAAGGAAGAAAAAAAATTTAATAGGGATTTAGGAGACTTTAGAAATAAAACAGTATATCTTTGGCAAAGCACAGTGGAGAAAGGGAATGGTGAATTATAGATTCCTCCTGATAATTCTGAAACATAAGCTGAAGAGAAGACTATTAGAGGAGAGAATGTATCTAATTATGTTAGTCAGAATCAACAGAGAGAGCAGAGTAATACCCCCCTATTGCATTGAGGTCTCAAATATATAATAATCAGAATAACAGAACCCCAAGAATTAAAACTCAACAAAGAAAAGAGGAAGTTTTTTACCAGCAGGTCTTAGATCTGAGTTTGCACATAGGAATAATGGTTTTGGCATACCCACAAGTAATCAATATGAACCTCTATCTGGTTATAGGGAGAATTCATACCCTTATTCACCAAGGCCTTTTTTAGGCAATCAGAGAGGGATGAGGGCCAAGGGTTGAGGTGGCTTTCCACAGAGAGGGAAAGCAGGGGTACATCATTTCAGACCCCCCATGCCGGAGTATCCCACAAGGGGGTGCAGGGCAGGGAGGAGGATCCAGCAGCAGAAAAAGAAGGAGAGAAACAGAATGAGTGGGATTTATAACTTAAGTGGGGTAGAGCTCCCTCATAAAGAAATAAATATTGTAAACACTGGTTTCAAATGTGCTATGAAATGTCAAATTAGTAAATTTGACGTTTATGTAGATACACACAAATATATGCGTAAGTTGAATTTGAAAAAAATATTTCTTGGGGGATGGGATAAGACTAGTGCTGATCAGAACTTCAATTAATAGTGGTCTGAAGAGTAAATCTTTTTTGAACCTGGCCAGGGGCGGACTGACAACTCATGGGGCCCCCGGGCAATAGGGGATCATGGGGCCCCGTGTCCTTGCCCAAACTCAAAAAAACCTATGAAAAAGGTATCAGGGGCATCTCATGGGGCCCCCTACTGACCCCGGGCCCTCCCGAGTTTCAAAATGGTCAGTCTGCCCTGAACCCGGCTATTCCAGGTAACTAATATATTGATGTGTTTAAAAATAATCCCAAGAAAAAATGTGACTTCCAGATATATACAAGAGGGGATAGAATCTCTAAAGAAAAGGAAAGAGATTGTGATCCACCTGATGGATAAAGAGGGAGGGGTGATGGTTTTTGATAAATTATTTTATCTTACACAATTAAGCATGATGCTAGCTGATCAGGATACATATGTGAGATTAAATAGAGATCCCACCCAGCGATATAAGGATAAATTGAAAGGAGTAGTGGAATTTGGGTATAGACCTAGGGTATTAAGGAAGAGCAAAGATATTTAATACCCAGTAGTTATCGTATTCCAACGATATATACATTACCCAAAATTCATAAAAACTCACAAAATCCCCCTGCCTGGCTAATTGTGAATAGTATAGGATTGGTGACTACTAGATTGGGGCAATATTTAGATACCCTTTTGCAAACCAGTGTGGCGCAAACTAAGGCATATTTAAAGGACACAAAGAACATAAAGTTATTAGATCAGGTGAACTTAAAAGATAAATCAGAAATATATCTTGTAACAGTGGATGTGTTATCTCTTACCATCATCCAACAAGATGATGCATCATTGGCTCTAAATTGGGCATTAAGTAAGAGGGATGACATCCCTCATGCACAGAAAGTGTTTTTAAATAGAGCTTTAGATTTTTGTTTTTCCCGCAACTATTTCTGGTACAATGGTAAGTTTTTCTCCCAAAGGAGGGGAGTTGCAATGGGCGTGAGCTTTGCACCCCGTCTAGCGAACCTCTTTATGGGAGAATGGGAGGATAGACATATGTTCAGCAGAAATAAGGGGGAGGTCATCTTTTACTGAAGGGTTATTGATGACCTGTTCCTTATGTGAGCAGGATCAGAGAAAGCCCTAAAAGAATGTTTGCTGGAGCTGAATAACAATAATAATATCAAATTAGAGTTCCAGTGGAGTAGTGAACAGATCAACTTCATAGATGTAATATCTTTAGAAAGAGGGATAAACGCTTAACCAAAGTGTATTTTAACCCCTTGACGCCCTGCTCGCTCCCAGCACATATGTCTGCTACTCCCAGAAAGGTCCCGATCTCCCCTTTCGGGACCTTTTCCGATCATTTGACTGCCGTGATGGTGAATCATAGTGGTCACATGACCCTAAAACCCCGCCCACCTCCCAGCTTCTGAAACTCTTAAAGGGTCGGGAGGCGCAGGCACTAGGAGGTTAGGTCGACTGACCAAAATCGTTATCTGTCTTTGTTGAGTGGTCATCATCCGTTATGGTTAATATTCCTAAAGGACAAATAATGAGGGTCAGAAGGAATTGCAGTTTGTAATCTAATTTTGTGAACCAATCTCCAGTGAGAAAAGAGAGATTTGTCCAGAAAGGTTACAATAGTGTCCAAATACAGACCACAATCCAGGGGATAATGGAGGGTCCCAGAAGGGAATGCTTAAGAAAAAAAAAAAACAACAAACAGTACTAATAAAAGCCAAGAGGGGGGCTTCATTTCTGATTTTCAAGTGCAATACAGGGAGGTTGAGAATATTTTCAGGAGACACTGGAACATCCTGCATATGGACAGGATGTTAGGTATGGTGCTTCCAGAAAATCCACCTTTCGTTTACTGGAGAGCCCCTAATTTTGGGGATAAAGTGGATAAAAAGATTCTAGACTCTCTAAGAAACAGATGACATTTTAGCATGAGAAAGGTTTCTTTGCCTGTTGAAAGTGTAATGCTTGTAAACAGGTAAATGAATGATTAAGGGGTATAACTAGCTTTACATCTTCAGCAAACAATAAGGAAATTTAAATCTCCAAATTTATTACATGTATCACCACTCATGTGGTATATGCTTTGGAATGTCCTTGTGGACTAATGTATATAGGTCGCACAAAAAGACCGCTTAAAAAAGAATAGTGAACCACATATATAATATTGGAATAGAATGCAAGCACCATAGCGTTTCACTACATTTTGGACAGTGCCATAAAAGGGATCCTGCTGGTTTAAAATTTTGTGGGGGTAGATAGAATCTTGTCTCAGTGGAGGGGCGGTAATATGGTGAGGGATTTATCTAAAATAGAAACAAAATGGACTTAGATGGCAGATGATTTAACTCCTAGGGGCCCGAACATTGAAATTGACATCAACTGTTTTATTAGCGACTATTTAATAGATATCAGTACTCAGCTCATAATGTTAGGGGTTTATTTTAAAGTTTATGCATTGAATTTTATGTGTATGAAGGTTTATTATGTATTTTACCCAAATTTTTAAATAATGTTTGGGATGTAAAGAGTTTGATTATAGACAGATCGAGGGACAAAGTGTGGTTTGATGCATGATTATCCTATGGAGGTCTGTTAACCAAGATCCGTTAAAATTGTTTATCACATTGGATATGAGTGGATGCAATATGAAGTGTGAACATGAGATGTCTCTGTCTGGACACCACTGTGGTTAATAGAATGGACATTGGCAGACAACGGAGTATAAAGTGTTAAATACCAAAGGAGGTCAATTATAAATAAGGGAACACTGTGCCGTTTAGCCATTCAGCATGCACTACTGTGATGGCGGAGGTCTGACATCTAATGAATTGAGATTGTGATAAGCAATCATTCTCTTTTATGTTTGTGAGTGAGTTTTTTGAGTTTTTAATGGGAATGAACAAGCAATAAATTTGTTAAATGGCATTACGCTATGTGTGTTGCTTTATTCCCTTATTTTGAGCTTTTGGAGTTTTAAAGTACTGCTGTGGGAAAGGAAGATGTTGGATGGATCCACCTAAATGGATGATTGAATAAAAGTGCAGTGTGCCTATCAGTAATATGACAGGCATTTGCTTATGGTGAGTGTTGTATCCTGAGGGGACGTGGTTCACTGAGCATGAAGGGTGATTGATCTCCTACTCTGATTAAAGGTGGAGGAGTGAAGCTGTAAGTTATTTGACCCAGAGGAAAACATCTCATTGACTGTTTGGTATTTGGTGCACTTTTCAACACTGATTGGTGGAAGACCATGAACTTTGAAAAGTGTGGAGCGCTGCTGTGATTAATGTTCTATTGATCGCTATTCATGACAACTGTTGTTTTTGAGCATAAAGTAGCTAGCTCTCAAGCTTATTTGTATTCACCATTCTTACGTAAGCGCTGGGTAATGTGCATTGGTTGCATGCATTTTTAGCACATTTTTGTTATATATTTATTTATATATTTAAGACAATTCTGCAGATTGTGACATTTTTAATGGACTAGCATATTAATTATTTAGCATTTATTGTATTCATTATTTAAACCTCTTTTTTAGTTGAATTATTTATTCCAGCTTAGAGGAAACAAGTTCTTTCTGAGAATTTTGTCACCTTTTTCAACATAATCTACAACAGACACTCCTATTGTAGTCTGCTGTGCACCTAAGTGTTGCTAAAAGTGAGCCTTTTAATTAGTCAATAAATAAATGTAGGCAATTTTAGGTCACTCCTATTCAATTCTGGTGTTAAAATTAAGAATATCAATAGGTTGAATAACCCACCAGCTTTCTACACACCCTCTGTCTCTTGTGGTGAGATTGTCTTGTGACTTTTTGGCAGTATGAATGTATATACATACAGTGTATATATATAAATATATATATATATATATATATATATATATATAAGCATGTGATGCTCACACAGTAATAAAGATATAATATTAAGCTAATACTCTTTGTTCAATACTGATCTTCTCACCACTGGAAAAATGCAACACAAACATGCTGATGCAAGTATTCTGAAGGGTACCAAATTTGTCATAATTAACAAGGCTGACGTTCAGGTTCACTGCTACCATAAATTACTTAACACCCACACATATTACATATTTTTTTAGCAGAGACCCTAGAGAATAAAATGGTGGGTTTTGCAATTTTTTTTATATCACATGGTAATTGTGCAGCAGTTTTTCAAATGCAAATTTTGTGAAAAAAATATTTTTTCAAAGAATTTTAATGACGTATACATCACAGCGTGAGGAAAGTACTGCTGATAACCAGCAATTGTCAGAAAACAGATCGCCACTGATCATCAGGACACTGATGATCAGTGCCCAGCAGTGCCGCCCACCTGTACCCAGCAGTGCCGCCCACACGTGTCAAGCAGTGCCTTCCACCTGTGCACATCAGTGCCACCCATCTGTGCCCAGCAGTGCCTAGCATTGCCACCCACCTGTGCCCAGCAGTGCCTAGCAATGCCACCCACCTGTGCCCAGCAGTGCCCTCAATCAGTGCCACCCATCAATGCTGCCCAGCAGTGCCACCCATCAGTGCCCAGCAGTGCCACCAGTCAGTGCCCAGCTGTGCCGCCAGTCAGTGCCGTCAGTCAGTGCCACCCATCAGTGCCGCCTATCAGTGCCCATCAGTGCCACCTATCAGTTCCCATCATTGCAGCATATCAGTGCTGCCTATCAGTGCTGCCTATCAGTGCCCATCAGTGCTGGTTATCCTTGCCACCTCATCAGTGCCGCCTATCAGTGCCCATCAGTGCAGCCTCATCAATGCAAATCAGTGAAGGAGAAAAATTACCTGTTTGCAAAATGTTATAATAGAAACAAAGAAAAACATTTTTTTCAAATGTTTTGCTCTTTTTTTGTTTATAGCACAAATTAAATACCACCAAAAGAAAGCTCTATTTGTGTGAAAAAAATTATAAAAAATGTCATATGGGTACAGTGTTGCATGACCGAGCAATTGTCATTCAAAGTGCGACAGCGTTGAAAGCTGGGCAGGAAGGGGATATAAGTTCCGATTAGGCAAGTGGTTAAAGCTGTAGTTGAGAAAACTGGGGTAAAATATTCTAAAACTCTGGAACCTTTTTGTAGATTTTTATTTGTTCCTCTTCTGAATGTTTGTAGTATAAATTCAAGTTTGTAGGTACTGCAATGCTCACTTCTCACTTCACAGTTAAAATTATTTACAATATTTCACTTTAA